AAATCACAACTTTAATGTTATGAAAAGTAATGGGGTTTCAGCAGGAAGTTACAGGATATGCACTGAATGGAAATAAAGCAGTGTAATCACCCCAAATGTTCTGGAGGTGCAAGCAGTATTGAAAGCATCATGAGCACAAATTAGTATAAATGTGAAATAAGACAACTTGGAGAGCCCATTAAGAACAAGCCCAAACATTCAAACAAAAAGTAATGGCAATGCTGGTGCAATCCACATTAGGGCAGTGCAAGTCCAACTGCCAAGTAGGTGTCAGCCTACCAGCTAAAGACCAATGGCCCTGCTAATGAGAGGGCTGTGCAGCCAAGACGGAAAAGCATATGAGGAAGAGATGTTCATTTCTATATGGGCTGGATCTTTAAACAAAATTAAGACATTAAGTTCTACACCAGTTTGAGGAAGGTGGAACACTTCTAGAGTATGAACTATAAAGCCAGTCTAAATAAATATTAGGAAAGAGAGTCCAGCTACATAAGTCTGGTCTTGGACAGTGTGTGGGAAAGGGTTATTCATCAAGATGAGTAAACAGCGCTCCTTGTACCAGACTGATCTCCTTCCTAGATTTCTTGGAAAATCACACATTATGTGTTGTCTACACTGCAGCTTGCCAGAGCTGACCTGTTTAATGTTAACTTGTAGAGCTTCCCCCAATTTGGCATCTGATGTTCACTTTGGGCAAATGAGAAGTGAACCCCATTTTTGCACAGCTGTAGATTTATCACCTGCCTAAATGGCTGACATTACTTCCTCCATTTTCTCAGATTTAAGAAAATGTAGGGTAATTTTTAATGTCATAGAGGACCGAACTGTCACAAATGCACAGAGGTTTTGTTGCAGGTAATATGCACAATTGTGCCAAGAACATGCACCAAGCAAAGTAACTTCAGAGCTAAACAAGTTAAATGGATACCCGATCAACCATTGTGTCAAGTGGAATGGACAAAGCCAAGCAGGAAGCAAAAACAGCCTGGGCTGTACAATGGCAACCACAGTTGCTGGATGACAATCTGCCTTCATCCCCACATAATCTTGTATCACATTTTAGTGCAGGGATGGATAGGGCTGCTTTCCCTTATGGGGCTGCAGGTGTAGCCAGAGGCAAAGTTTTTTTGGAGTAATGGGTGTCGGTCTTTTCTTTGTCCAGTACGCTACATACCAGCTTACACAAAACCCAAAGGTTTACACACGCACGTCTCTCCTTCAAGGCAAGCAAGAAGCATTTCCTCAGCTCAAGGAAACATTTCCGCCAGGCAGAAGCACTCAAGGATGGCACAGACTGGGGCCAGTGAGGGGCATGGCCTGGAGAAGTGTACTAAGGGCTGGATATGGACTCTCAGGTGTTTTTCAGTTCAGCTGCTGCACATCAGCTGTGGCATGAATAAACTACCAAAGTACCTGTTCCTGTGGTGAATCTATAGCATAAATAAGCCTGAGAATGAAAAAGGGCTGTTGTTGTTTTTCCAAAAAGCTGAATTATGTGGAAGACCAAACAAGCACTTGAAGAGTCCGCCAATTCATTATCTGGAAATATGAAAGTTCTCAAGGGCAGAGAAACTGAACAGTATCAATACAAGTTCTGATGACACAGATAGAGGCACCAGACATACACAAAGTGTTTGTCTCCTTTTGAGCATTTCTTACCCACTTCCCCCTAGACTTAATGGGGTTTGGGGACATCTTTCTGAAACTTTGTTATGAATTGCCAACAGGCTTCATTTGTTTAAATATGGTAAAAAGAAATGGCTCATTGTGTGTTCAGAGGTAATTTCTTCCCAGACATATACAACAGCTTTTGTATTCTGATATTCTTTTATTTTGACAGCCACAATTAAAATGAAACAACCTGAAATTGCTTGGAAAGAAGGTGTAATCTTTGGCATTGGACACAGTTCCTCCAAACACAACAATATCTATCTATCATCTATCCATCTATCATCTATCATCTATCTATCTACACATACATCTTTGGTAATATTTGCAAAAACCAAAGTTGCTTCAGACTTCTTGGAAAAAAAGGAAGGGTAGCATTTCTAGAACATTAGTAATATTTTCAAAAAAAAATTATTGGAAATTTTATTTGGAATTTCCAATAAAAAATAAAATTTTAATATTTTCATACTTTGAGTTTTATTTTTTAAAAAAGGTTAAAGACAAATATATATTTAGGAATGCCAGAAAATTGTCTATATTAATTCATGTCTGAAATATTCTAACAGGAGCTACTAGTTTTTAATAATTTGCAGCTAAATTCCCCCTCAAATAAGTAACATTTTAATATTGGAATCTAAAGCACGTTTACAGAATTATTGTTATTTATGTTGGTGATGCATGTTATATGTACAAGAATATGGGGAAAACGTACCCAGTGGGCTGCTAGTGAATTGTGTAGCTTATTTTCTAGTGTAGACTGTGAAGCCTTGAATGCAAGACTTTCTGGCTACACAAAGCGATGTGATAAAATTAGCTGAAGGATAACCATAATGCTCACAAGAAAGTGAGTTTGCACAGCAGAGTTGGAGTCATTCGGATATGTTGAAAGCAAAGATGCAATGAAAATGAAGTTACAGGATGCCATTGTGTGCTATTGTTTTACATGTTTTACCCAGATGAAATTTAACCTGGAGAAACAAAGACCAGTCCCTTTTATTTCCTATGTTCAGGTTGTGAGGCTTTGTACTTACCAGACATTTAAAGTGCCCTCACCCAAGAATCCTGGGAAATGTATTTTTAAAAGTGTGTTGGGAACTGTAGTTCTGTGAAGGGTAAACTACAGTTCTCAGGAGTTTTTCGGGGAAATCAGTACTTGATTGTGCTTTAAATGTATGGTATGTATGCAGCCACAGAGTTAATGTAGCATGAATGATGCCATCTATACAAAGGAGGGATGTATCAGCAAGCTTAAGGAAACTGCAAGGTGCAGAAGTACAGAAACTAGGGGAAATTCTCCAAAGTATGTGTGCAGAGGGCGACTGCCAAAGCAAACCAAGGAGGACTGAGCATATTCGATGACCAAAAAATACTCACTGAACATTGGGGGCAAGATAGAAAAAAACAGTGGAGAAGGAAAATGGAATGGAGTGGCTGAAATTCTTAACAGCAGCAGGACTTGCTTCGTAAAGAGACATTCTATTGCAGGGCCCACTTGTTTGTTTCTTTAAAAAAGGTTATAAACAGAATTTCATTTTGTCAATTGAAATTCACTTTACCAGATATGGATTGCACACTTTAGTGTAAAATACTAGAGGAAAGCACCAGAGTCCCAACAATACAGTATTTTTTCTCTATATGTGTGTGTTTATAGTTTTTACCTATGCAAGGCAAGCAGGAATACCTTGCCTACATGTATTTTTATACTGTGAGAAGCTTCATACTTTTGAGTTTTTTTAAAAAAACACAAGTTAGCTAGATCTGATTTCCACCCCTCTTCCACTGTGTAAAAGCTACTGTCCCCAAACTGTGTAGCCTCAGAGAAGTGCTGTAGAATAGTTTGTAGCCTCAACAGAAAACTTTGGTTTCACCAAAATTAATAGCCCAAATGACCAGTTGTTGTTGTTTTTATGCCAGCCTGGATTTAATTCATTTGATGTTCCTAAAATTCAAATATGCATTCTCAGATCAAGTGTCCTCTATAAGCAACAATTAATTTCACTGTGGACTAAGTTTTGTATATCTCCAAGACTGGAAAGATTAGATGAACAATTAGTGGAACTTGCTTAAAAGAGCCCTTTTGCCTGCTGCACCAGTAACCAGGATGTATAGGACTGCAATGGAGAAGCTAGGTACTTCTTTTTAGAGTTAGCCCTATTCAAGGCTATATTGCTAACCACACTTGTCAGGACTCAGGGCACACTTACTGTGTGTGTGTGTGTGTGTGGAGAAGACCCCACTGGGCACAGCGCAGACATTTCTTATCTCAGTAGATATGAATCATATTGTGCTGCAAATCCACTGAAATCACTGGAATTCACTCCGGTGTACACATGCTCTGAGCAGAACGCCGGTGCCAGTGCCTTCAGGGGACTAAAACACTTAAGACCCCAGTTCCAAACACAAACCCCTCTGACGTGGGCGGCCAGGTGTTGAGATTTACTCCCACCAGGTGAGGGGGAGTGATGGTCATTTTATCCGCACCCTGATCCTGTGCTACGTGGGACAAAAGGGACACCTTTCAAGGTAAGCAAGTTTCGATTCTGACGTAGGCAGACAAAACTATTTAAAATCCAAGCACTTCCGCTCATTGCACTCCTCCTTGTAGACCTAGATGCGCCTGCCTCGGCTGTGCAACGGATTTGTGACCGCAGCAAAGGAGAGCGCGCTCTTATCTCCTAGCGCGCGGCTCGACTTCCCGTCGCCTCCTCTCTCCTTTCTTCCACGGTGGGGGCAGCTTGAAGTTTACCCGCCGGCGGCCCTTTCGGGGGCGGCGGGAAAGTGTGCAGGCGCGTGTGCGCGTCCGCAGTGCGCGCGCGCCGTGGAAGGCGAGGGGGCTCCGCGTGGCCTCTCTCTGTGTGTATATGTGTGTGTGTTTCTCCCCCTCACCCCGGCCCGCCCGCCTCCCCCGCTTCCTCTCTCCGAGAGGCCGCGTGGGTGGGTGGTTAGCTGGCAGGGAGAGCGGGGTGGGTGGCTGCGCGGCTCCTTGGGAGGGGGCGCAGACAGGTGGGCTGGCCCAGTGTTTCAGGCGAGCGTGGTCGGCGACGGGAGGAAAAGGAAGGGGGCGGCCGGGAGAGCAGCGGAGTCAGGTGACTTGACTGACGGACTGACTCTCTCCGCGTGTGTGTGTGTGTGTGTGTGTGTGTGCGCGCGCGCTGTGCGCCTCAGTCAGGTTGTGGTGCAGGCGGGCGGAGGGGGCGGCCTGGCTGTGTGTAGGCAGCAGGCAGGCTGGCGAGAGAGCTGCGCGCACCGAGCGGCGCCAGAGGCGCCTGGAGACTCGGGCATGTGATAAAAAGCAAAGAGGGGGGGGGGGAGGAGGAGGAGGGCGAGGAAAGAGGGGAGGGCGCCGGCTATAGATGCGCCGGGACTTCGCGAGCGAGGGCAGCCGGCGGGAGAAACGTGCCTGGGAGAGAGCACGCGCTCTCTCTCTCTCTCGCGCGCGCTCCTCCTTCCCTCACGCGCTCCCTCCCGGGGAGGGAGTAGCGGCTCGTGGACCTACGAGGCGAGGCGGGGAGCTCGCTCTCTCCCTCCCTCCCTAGGAATCCCAAGCGGCGAAGGAGCGGCACCCGCAGTGCGAGGCTCCCCCTGGCTGTTTGGAGCGGGCTGAGCGAGCAGGGGCGGGCGAAGGGGGAAGCCCAGGGAGCTGCAAGGAGCCGCCGCCGCCGCCGCCACTTCATCCTGCGGCACCAGGAGGCAGCGAGCGCGAGAGGAGAAGCAGCCCATGTGCGCAGGTGGGCAACACCCGTTTCCACCGCATTGTCAGCCCCGGGTGGCTGCAGCCATGCGGGCGGCGGCGGCGGAGGGGGGCGAGTAGGATGGCGAGCCAATCGGGAGACCGGCTGCTGCCTCGGTGGGGTCTGTTTGTGTGTCTGAGGGAGAGATGTAGCGCACAACTTGCTGCCTTGCTTTTGCTGGATGGAGGTGCAGGGCTGCAAGAGTGAGTGGTTATTCGCGGTGGTGGGGGTGGTGGCAATCGGTTGTTTTGCTCCTCACCCCCCCCCCTTCCATTGGCTGTCTAAAAATACATATGCATGTAACCGTACCTATAGCTCTGTGTGCGTGTTGTGTGGCTAATGGCAACGGAGAGGGGGTTTCCCCCCCTTTAGCGTGGCTTGCTTATGTTTTGTTTTGTTTTTTTACTTGGGGTTTTGGACCGAAGAAGTACCGAAGCGAGGGGCAAGAGAGTAAGAGCAGCGTGTGTACCTCTTGACAAGTGGCTCGGCGTCGTCGAGCGGGCAGGGAACCTGGCCATGTGCAGAACACAGCAGTTCTAGAGTAGTAATTTCCAGGGAGAGGGAGACGAGTCTGCTGCTGTATGTGCTGTGCAAGATATACAGTGAAGCAGTACAGTCTGGTGTTGGATAAAATTGCTGCTGTCCATGCGTGTTCAGATTTTGGGTTAAACGCATCTAACACAAGAATACTGATGATTGGCAGGAAAGTCGTGCATGTGGGAAAAACAAAACCTCTTATAGGAGACAGCTTGTCTCGCTTTTCTGACTAGCAGAGTATGAGAATAATATTATCCTGGCAGGGGAATCAGGGCTGAGGGTATTTGTTGGAGGGCAATGTGTTAAATTGGTTGCATAAAACACTCTTGATTCTAACACAGAAGTACTCTTTAGAAAATGGACAGCGCGGCAACATGTATGCTGCAACATAAATAGAATGGAGAAAACTTCTATCACAGAAGTACGCTAGGCTTCCGCTGCAGTCTTGTATGCCCTTGGAATTAACGTGGCTTACTTTTGAGTAGACACCGATAGGGTTGTGGTGGAAACCTCTGTTTACATTTTTAGCATATGTGGTTTGTGTACTAGCTTCTGATATGTATATGGGTTGTCTTTATAGAATAACCATATCATTTAAATAGTTGCTTATTGCACATTTTTGTGTGTGTGTGTGTTTCGTACAAAGCTAATCAGAGATGTTTTATGTTGCTATATATGTTATTGTACCCCCCCCCCCATGAAAGCTGTAAAGTATTAAATATTAAGACAACAAATGCATCTTATTTTTCCTAACCTTTACATGGTCTTGAGTTAATATAGAAGAAATACTTCAAGGGTGCAATTCTGTACTTAAATTGCCTGGGATTAAGCCCTGCTGGATGCACTGGGACTTTCTTTTGAGTAGACGTGCATAGAATTGTGCTGCAAAAGAAACTGTAGCTATCTTTTTGCCTATATTATTAGTGGGAATGATTGAGTCCCTTTAACACAATCAAGGCTAGAGTTTGGATGTGACATTAGTCTACCAAGAGATTTAATAGATGTCTAATTTCTTCTATTGACTATAGATGGCAGTGTGGAAGCCAAATACAAACATTGGCAGAAGTTATTTTCTCTCTCTCTGAGAAAATGAAGAGAGTGTACACATGACTAGGCTTGGGAACTTGAGAAACCACAGGTATGTAAATTGATTAATCTAACTGCCTATAGTGCTCCCAGTATTTACCAAATTTTGACAGTTGGCCATTTTAAAACAGAATTTAACTTAAAATATCAGAAGCATTTGAGCTCGTTTCAAAAGCCAAAAGGTACAGAAAAAACATAGTAGCTTGAAAGTAGAATACTAGTTTGAAAGAATCAAGGAGGGCTGGTATGCATGCAAGAGATTCCTTGAAAGCTATGCTCTAAGGTTTTTCTTCAGTATCATGCTCAATAAGTCCAATGTCGTCTTCTGCTACTACTGCTAAAATCATATGTTTCAGTTCCGCAAAACAATGATTTCTGGCACAAATAAGCTAATTAAGGCTGGCATTTCCCTTTTAAAGCTGCCTAATTTACTTATTTCCTGAGCCTCAGTGCATTCAAAAGCAAGTTAAATTAAAATCAATGTGATTTTAATTTATATAAAAGTCTTTAGAATAGGGGTGGCAGCCAATGGCGGTTTCAGAATTACTGTGGAATCATATCTCTGTAGAGATAAAGAAAGTCAAGATGTTTTACTGAAAATATGTGGACAAGAAATATATTTTCTGGGGATCCGCAATGCACTGAACAGTGATGAGCATGTCTTTTAGACTAGCAAGAAACAGGTGGTGTCTCTGATCTCCGGTTTTTTGAGATCGGAGTCATAGGCTTTTGGAAAAATGAGTGCTTATAAAAGCCATAATGACATCAGGAATGAGCTGCCACTCTTCTGCTGGCTCAGAAGAAATGAGGATCCTCTGAATCTCAGCATGAGGTATGGTGGAGTCCAAACCCTTATTTGAGGCTGTTGCTGCTTTGAAATGCCTCTGAAGCTCAGCATGACATCAGAGGGAAGGTCTCAACCTACTCTAAGCTCAGGCGAAGGGTGAGCACACACACACTGATGTTTCGGTGGGATTTGGAAGCAGTATGTTTGAATGCTTCCATTGCTCAGTTTGATGCAATGGCTGAGAACTCACTACCCTCCTGATCCAGGACAGGGGCAGGGTTGGTAGTTCCCATTAATTTTGGCTGGCTGCCAAGGCTAGCAAAAGTTTTCAGCTGCTGATTGTAGTCTGCAGATTACACTGTCATAGGAGAGAGGCTGTGTTTGGTTAAATCTCACATTTGATATTCTTATGTATGCTGATCATAAACTGATTTGCTTGTTGTATCGTACCAGTGTGTTTAACCATGGCAACTGCATGCACTGAAATGGATGTTTACAGTCTGAATGTACTGATTATTCTTTATAAAACTCTGGTAATTTACAGTGTTTTTAAATAAATATATAAACAGCAAACACTGTTTAATGTGGTTACACACACACACACACACACACACACACACACACACTATGAGAGAATAGTGAAAATGTGGATGCAAAATTAAAGTAATTAACAATGTATTTTCATTAGCTGATAAAATTTCAATTAGCTATATAGAGATGTCTTTAAAAATGAATATAGACATTTCCAAGAGCTTTCAAAGAATATAATTCAGAGGCATTTACAGTAAATAAGTTGCAAAAACCAGGACTTTGAATCTTACTTCAATATAAGTGCCTTTACAGTATACCATGCTAATGCCAATATATATCTATTTTGCTTTATTCCTTTTCCATGTGTCAAAAGGAGTTTTTAAACCAATTTCTCCTTAGAGAGAGAACTGAACTAAGTAAAGTAAAAATAAACATTTGAGCCCTGTTTCTTTAAATACCTTGCAGTATTCAAACACATGCATACTTGTACCTCTATCCTTAAAGTACTCATTGGGAGATCTGAGATCGATAGGATTTATAACATGTGGCATAATTGATATATAAAGGTAAACAGAACTTGCTGGCTATGCAGCATTTTGGGCTTATGAACATATGAATTTGAAAGCTTATTGGACTAATTGTATTACTGGCAGGTGTACATCAGAATGAAAGCATAAATTCATAGCCATACATATAAAAATGTGGTAGTATGTTGTCGTATTACAGTAAGCAGTCATAAAATATTAACAGTAATGTCTAATGTAAGCGAAGCAGTAGGCAGAGTGCTCTACTGAGGGTTCTTATTACAGAGACTTCACTAGTCTACAAGTACCATTACTGTACATTGTGATGAATTGCCATAAATAATTGAAATAAACTGTCATCGTATTCAGAGTGCCTGATCTGTTTTTTTGGCGTGTTCACAAAGTAATTGGGAGGAAAACTCTTCCATTCAGAGAGATTCCACAGCTGCTTTGTGTAAGTTGATGAGGGTATACTATATGAATGTCAAATTGCGTGTATTCATTATCAGAAATCTTGGGGGAAAGTTTCTGTTGCAGACAGGTTTCTTCTTTTCCCCGGTTCTCTTTGGGGCTCCACTTTCCGCAGTTCAGCCATCTCGGCAGCTTGCATTCCTGCTGTTTTGAGTGCTACACAACATGGATCCTTGCATTCTTTTTTGTGTGAGTCAAACCACGCAGATAATGATCAAACACTGGATTCCAGCCAAAAGGCAGATGCTGATGGTTCTTCTTCCAGACAAACTCCAAGGATGGAGAGCCTGTGAGCACAGATAGCATCCTGAAGCACTTACCTGCGTTGGAATAATTCATTGTAACAGCAAATGCTTTCAAGCTCCAGCTGGTCTCCTGAGGACAGTATTAACAGAGCATGGGAAGCCTCTGTAGCCCAATGCTAGAGCACCTGCTTTGCCGAAGGTCCCAGGTTCAGTCCCTGGGCCATTTCCAAGTAGAAATGGAAAAAGGTTTCCTGCTTGAAACCTTGGGAGAGCCACTGCCAGTCAGTGGAGGCAGAACTGAACTGGGTGGCCAATGGACTGACTCAATATAAGGCAGCTTCCCATGTTTCTAGGAAAGTGGAAAGCATAGGAAAGAGTTTATTCCCCATTTGTAAACCAGAAAAAGAGGAAAGGCAATGAGGCAATGGATATTTTTGTCTATATGGATTTGCTATTGTGGGGCTCAAGTCCTGGAACCTTTATGCAGGTGCAAAGAGTTGAGAAATTGTTTGTTTATAGCAGGGTACTAGTTTCAATGCAAAGGTCAGTAAATAATAGGGAGGTAAGCTGAAATATAAATAACACCCCTGATTTACTTTAAATCCTTGTGTCCATTGTAAGAATAGTTGTAGCTTACTAGTATGGGGATGGGGTAACCTTTGCTTCCTTTGCTGTGCAACAAACAGAAATCTTCCTAAAGCCTTAATCAGGTGGTAGAAACTTAGGTGTCTTTTTCATTCTAGGCTAGCTTCAGATCCAAGCTATGTTTTATTATTGGGGGAGCAGGGCAAATAGTTGTTCTTTGAAACAACCACGTGGGGAATCTGAGGTTTGCAGATGGGGCTCTCCTATCCTTGCATAGCTGTCAATGTTTCCCTTTTCTTGCAAGGATTCCTATTCGGAATAAGGGAATTTCCCTTAAAAAAGGGGAAATGTTGACAGCTATGTATCCTTGCAGCACAGCTTGTAAGGAAGGAGGTGGTTACAGAGTTGAAGGACAGCTTTGACCTTGTAAAAAGCATGAGTTCAAGGCAAAAAGGTTGGGATGTGGATTGAGAATGTGAGATCTCACAGGAGCTGAGTGGTGAGAAGAGTCCTATATATGACATTTCTTATGTCTTATGTCTTGAGGTATAGGCACATAGTGCAGGGACGACAATAGCAACATTCATGATTGCTCATGGTGGGAACAAGCCCCCAAAGTCTTGCACACGGTTTAACAAACCATAGTTATGTTTTACGACAGTAAAGGGTTTGGGTTTTCTTTAATAAAAATTATTATTATTTAATTGCTTCCTATGAAACATCTCAAAGTGATTTTACAATATCAGAAATACATACCTATAAAGCACTTCCATATATAAACACAGTGCTACTGAATGCTGCACTATGGCTAATCTACAGTGAACGCTTCCCATCTCTTTGCAGCAGTACTAGAGAAGGAGAGTGATAAGGGAGCATGTGATCTTAGGGGGAAGCAGTCACTGAGTCCTGGTGCATCAGTATCACCAGGCATGTGCTTCCAGGAGTCCATTGTGCTTGGGTAGAAATTCTGCCCAGTGGCCATAGAAGAAGCATGGAGGAAAGTCGTTCTGGAGCTTGGTAAGGTTTTCAGTCTGCAGAGGGGAATAGTTGTATATCAGCTAGGCACCTATCAGGTGATGATATGTATATGGAAGATTCCATGCACCTCTCAAATGCTTTTCTTGGGAATTTGAGGAATGGTATTGGAGTGTTTGTGAATAAGCTTGTGGGGCAGTGAAGGGTGTCGACACAGGTGGTCGCTTTTCATGGCAGCAGACCATGGAGAAAGGGTCCCCTAGTCTGAAGAGCATTGGAGCAGGTGAATGCAAAGTTTTATCCCTGCAAAGCAGCTGAGCAGGTCATTTACAGGGTTGAAGGAACTTGCTAGCTGGTGAAGTAGGCAGCTCTCAGCAGCACCTCGCTGCTGATGGCTGTCAAATGATTTTTGTTAAGGAGCTTACAAGGATTCCCTTGTGTTTGTTTTTGTATCTGTTGGGAACTTGGTTGTGCCAGGAGATTGGGTGAGTGGACTTTGCATCATACAGCTTTTTTTCTTCTAGGATGGTCTTGAGTTAAACGTTTCCTGTGTTTAAGAACTCTGGTAAATGTGTGGCCTAGTTAAATCCCAAACTGGTGTCTCCTTAAACAGGTGATCCCTTCTTGCTTTGATCTAAAACCAGTCCCATTTGATTCCAGTATCTTTTTCTTTGGTTTCCTGCATTAGATCAGGCCTGTACATGCCTATGAAAGTTTTCTACTTGGCATCATTCCATGAAACAGTTCTCTGTCTCCGTCTTTGGCATTGTTTGTGGTGAGTTGTGGCATTCACGCAATGTTCCCACAGCTAGTGGCTAGCTAGTAAAATGCTGTTGCTGGAAGTCATGTTGGGCAGAAAAGGAATTTGGCAAGAAAATGTTGCCTTTTAAAATTTAGTGAAAGGGCTAGAAGCCAGAAGGAATATTAGATAAGA